CTTCCCCACAGCCTCTTCTGAATTCCAAGCCCCAACAATCCAGGGAAGCCCAATCTCTGGGGCCCTCAATACGTCATGTGCAATAGTAGTTGATATTCAGAGGAGCAATTTCAGACACTGCAGAGTTTATAAGCCAGAAATGAATCATACTCTAGCTATGAAGGTGGAAAAGTAGAAGACATACAGTTAGAATGAATGTCAACCACACAGGTTAACACAAAAGATGTTCTGATGAAAGTCTCCCTTACTTAGAGAATCGAGGGTCAAGGAACTAGGAATTCCAATGAGCAAAGACTTGACTTTACCTGAATAAATCCAGCATCCAAGACCATGACAGGTGCTCAGCTGGAACACAACACGTGAAGGAAAATTAAAGTCAGCCAGTAGTTCTTGGTCAAGAAAGGTTTTATGGTTTTCGAAGTCCCTCATTCATAATATGTGTGATAGAAGCTATTTTAAAATCACCTTATATTTTATAATTTTTAATACACTAGATTAGGAGAGGATAATTAATAATAAAAACTCAATAATGGGCTGGGGATGTGGCTCAAATGGTAGCGCGCTCGCCTGGCATGCGTGCGGCCCGGGGTTCAATCCTCAGCACCACATACAAACAAAGATGTTGTATCCGCCGAAAACTGAAAAATAAATATTGAAATTCTCTCTCTCTTTATAAAAAACCAATAAGTTGCTAGTCTCACTGACTCTAATAGTGAATATTTGTGTAACATACATGCTTGTCTATCATAATGTGTTATGGAAACACAGTTTACTTTCAGGAATGTTCAAGGAGTTTTCTATAACTGTAGTGTACACAGAACTGTAGATAATAGCATTGAATATCACCTGGATTCTTGACAGTTCAACAGAATGCTTGAACATGCATGTTCATATTGGATCCTCACTAGAGAGAAGTTAAAGTAAATTATATGCATCACTTGTTTCCAAGAAAATACCTAGTGGCTTGTGAAATATAACAGCTTTCAAAGAGATTTCTGCATGATCATTAACAATAACAATTCAATCAAAAGCGCAGAAAGACCTAAGAAGGATCCACTCCACAATAAAGAAAAATTGAAAGGAATAATGCATAGCAGCAACTTTTATTTACTGTGATAAAAACAGACATCTTACTCAACCTGTAACTGTTATAGAATAGGATTCTAAAAGATAAGTAATGAGATATCGGAAGTGAGTAATGAGACTCCTGCTTTGGAAGCCTAGCTTCAGCTCACCCAGAGGAATTATTCTCATGCTTACCATTTATATTGCACTGTATTGATTGTAGCTCGGTGCACTCCAAAGTAGCTATGGCTCTGGGGACCCTGCACAGAATCTGGGAAGAATCCAAGAGCCCAACAGCTGCATACTGCAGAAGGCACATAGGCTCTCTGGACGGCACAGACTTTCTCCTTATGATGTAATGCTTCTTGCTCATTTCCTCACCTTCCAAGAATCTTGTCACTGGGTATCCTGCTGGAGAGATTGATGAATTACCCTGGAAACCTTACACAACATTTCTATTTCAATCAGAAAGTGTCTTTTAAATAACGTGATATATTTTGGAAGTATTTTATTGTTTTCCTTCTTACAAAAGTAATAAGTGACTCATGTTAAAATGCTTTTGACATTCCAGAAATAAGTGAAAATGTTGCTTTGGCTAACATTTCACTAATTAAGGCAGAAAACAGAAGAAATACAGATAGAAAACTTACCTTTCCCTTCCCTCCAGGTCACCCGTGTGAGCATGAAATCCAGCAGATCTTTTTCTTCTATGCATGCACTTAATTTGACAATAACTTTAAAGACCTCTGCACTATATTTTTGTCAAGCAGCAGTGAGAATGATTTGACCAATATGTGACCCTTACAGCATTTTAAAAATAATTCAGCCTCATACTTTAAACACAGAGTAAGTGAAGTTCCAAAGAAATGTTTTAAAAATTGATGGGAAAAAAAAAAAAAAGCCCAACAGTGTGTGAAGCCAGCTAGAGCTAGGGCTACCAGAATTCTGGGAACTGTAATACTAATAGATTTCTAGCTGTCAAAATTTGAAATAGAATCTACAGGGACCAAAAATTTTGAAATAAAAATGTGGTCAGATGCATGTCTGGTGTGGACTTTTCAGCTGATTCAAAACAAACACCAAAATAGCAACAGTGTCTATCTCTGATAAACTTGCCTTCCCAGCAGCCTCCTCCCTGCAGCAAGACATTTCTATTACATTTTCCTAAAAGGGACTCAAGCTTACTTTGAAGTGATAGTCCTGCCGGCATTGCATGCAGCATCAAAGCTCTGTAATTTTCTAATCTCTGGTTTCCACACTTGAAAATATTCTGTCTTGCTATTTTAGAACTAAAGTCTCTGTTTTGCAAAGACTGTGCTCTGAATGTTTTCAAGTCACCTGTTTAGAACTTGTATTGTGCATTCCCACAGAACAAGTCTAAGTGGGATTTTGAAATTCCTGAAGCAGGCCAGTTAATCTGATTGCAGTTGAAGTACCTAATTGTGTGCACTGTGGAAATGTGAGACCTTGGGAAACAAGGTCTTTTTTTAAAAAATGTTTTCTTTCAGTTTTCTAACTTGGGATGCCTGGAATGTGGTCCTGTCCTTGTGGTTTAAGGCTTCTGAGACTCTGGAAACACCATCTCCGAGAACCTGGTTCAAGGCAAGTACCTAGCCTTGGTGTAGAATGGGGGCTGCAATCCAATCTCCCCCCCACACACAAACAAATGCACCCTCTCCAAGAAACAGTTGATCCCTCCTGTAGTTTGTATCCAAAAAGGATCCTCAAAATGCAAATGACTTACCCTAAGGCTCAAGAGTAGCTACTGGTTTGCTTTACTTTTTCAGTGCTATGTGTATTGGGAATCAAGCTTGCAAGTAGAAAAGAGGGAAACTGTCGTTTAGATCAGGGAGTTAGTATGAAGCCACATCCTCCATTACAAAAGCAGATGGGTCCCACAGGGTTTGTAGTTGCTTTCAAAACACAAGACAGGCTCTGGATCACAGAACTCTGCAACTTCTCTAAATTTGAAGGTTCATTATCTCCCTTATGTTTCATATAGTCAAGAGCAATATAATCCTTAAAACAAAAAGGTTCTGTGCTTCTACCGGGAGACAGCAAAGAAGGAGAGAGTGAAGGAACCTGCACTTCTAGACAAGTGAGTTTTCAGGCTCCACTCAATTGAAAACTCTGGAACTGGACCAGCAATCTGTGTCCAACTTTCCTCCCTGGGTGATTCCAGTCATCAAGCTCAAGTGTAAGGACCACTGGCCCAGTGGATAAGGAAGAGCCTCCTTTTAAATCCTAGCATCACCCCCTTAACAGCAAGCTGCATAAGCTCTAGCAAGTTGTTCTTTCTGAGTTTTTAAGAGAAGATTAAATGAGACACTGTATTAGAAGCACTTGGGGCAATGCCAACTGTGTTGATCAGCTTTCCATCACTATAACAAATCGTGAGATAATGAACTTTTAAAGAGAAAAGGCTTACTTTGGCTTATGGTTTTAGAAGTTCTAGTCCATAATAGGTTGGCCTTGTTGCTTTTAGGCCTGTAGTGAGGCAGGACATCATGGTGGGAACACATGGTGGAGGAAAACCACTTAGATTGGAGGGATCAAAGAGATAAAGGACCCTTTCAGACCCTGGCATCCTACTTTCAGAGAATCTAAAGGTCAAATACATTCTGTGGGATCTCATCCACACAGAAAAAGAGCAGTATTTCTCCATCCTGGCTGATCACTAGAGTCTTCATGCAGCTTTTAATCTTTGCCCTATCCGGGACCTTCAGAGCCATCATCTCCAGTGGTAGAAGCTGGGTATCTGTAATTGTTACAATCTCCATAGGCAATTCTGGGGGGAAAAGCCATTGGAAATCAAAGGTGGCAACGATTGGAGAGAACATTTATTGAGTGTTTGTGCCAGGCACTATGCTAACTTCTTTATATACATTTACTTCTCACTGCAACCCTTCCAAGGTAGGTATTTATTTAACAAATGAGGAAATTGAGGTATAGAGAAACTAAATAATCCAATTTCACACAACTGAGAAGTGGTATAGGACCCGAACTCATGTTTGAGTTGGTAGATGCATTTAACTGGTAAAATCATCATAATGATAATCTTAATGCATTCATGTACTCATTCATCAGACATACACTTACTATGCATGGCCAAGTAATAAACTGGGAGCCAGAGAATGTAAAAATGAATATAGATCCGCGTCCCCATCCTCAAGAAACCCACGCCCTAAAGTGATCCGGAAACAAACAAAACCAAAAACGGCAGACAGGCTGCTTCATTCGGAAAGATGATGTCATGAGTCTCCGAGCGGCTGAAAAGGTTTCCTGCTGACCATCAGACCTGTCCTCTCAAGAGCCATGTACCCATCCGTGCCCGTTTGGCTCCCCGCCTCCTAGGCTGGGAGGACCAGGCCTGTCTGCCAGCTGTCCACGCTCCGCAGCAGCGCTGGGGCGCCCCGGAGCCCACGCGGCTGGCCCTGCGTGGGCCTCGGCGGTCCTCACTGGGTCCCAGCGCTGACGCAGTCGTCTTGCCAGGCGTCCTCGCTCGGCGGTAGGCCGACCAATCAAATCCGAGGGAAGGAGGCGCAGCCCCACGGAGCGAGCAGTGGCTGTCTTCCAGGAGTAAATCCTGTCCCTCGCATCGAAGGGACGACCACAGGAAATTTTTCAGAAAAGCACAGAGAAAAGTCTGGAGCCTGCCTTTAGAATCGCGGGAGGTTGGCGCGGGCCAGATCACGGGTCCCGGTGGCAGACCCCGAGCTCCGGTCTCGCTCCGGGTGGGACCGGCTCGTGGCTCGTCTGCGGCCCCTCACTGCCCCCTAGAGTTGGGTTGAGCATTCCTTCAGTAGACCACATGATGAATAAAGTCCGCGAGTGACCCTCCCGGGGAGACCGCCTTGGAGGACTTCGCCCCCGCCCCCGGTGCGGGGCCGGGGACACTGCGGGCGGCGCTCGCATCTTTCCCGCCCAGCCCGGGAGAAGACGGGGTCTGGGGACAGCGACCGCACTCCGGACTCGTCTTCAGGTTGCACAGGGGAGGCCGCAGCGGAACCTTTCTCCTCCGCCCTGCTCTAGATTCCACCCGGGCCCGGTTGGCGCCGTACGCAGTGGTGGAGACTTAGACATGGGGACGGCGGGCGCCGGGCCTGGCGAGCCTTCTCACCTGGAGACTCCGGCGCCCACGGACGATCGGCTTTTCCTGGTGAAAGGTGTGAAGTGGGGCGGGGCGGTGCCTGGCCTGCGCCAAGGGCGTTCCCCTACGCATCCCGCCCGGAGCCCGCGTCGCGGCCTTGCCCCTGGATTTGGCGGGGTCGGGAGCCGGGAGGCGGGTCCGCGCTCGCTCTCGCGTGCGGGCCGCATTTCCCCATCCCCTCGGCAGTTTTTCCCCTGCTCTAACTACACTCGCTCTCTTTACCCCCGGGAGAAACTTCACGCCGCCGCCCGCGCAGAGGGCAAGGGAGCTGCACCCGGGATGACCCCTGGAAGCAGAGGTCGTGAGGTCGGGCGCACTTCACCCGAGGCTGCCCTTCACCTTTGGCAACAACTGCTCAGCCATGATTTCTCGAATTTCAGAAGTAATTTTGAGTGTAACTTAAAAAGTATCTGAAACTTATTTGTTTCTTCTTTTTTTAATTTGAATCTCCCAAACTCTTGGCAGGTGGAATTTTCCTTGGTTCTGTTGCCGCAGCAGGAATGTTGGCTGGATTTGTTACCACACTATCATTGGCTAAAAAGAAAAGCCCTGAATGGTTCAATAAGGTTTGTGACACTGAGATCCATTCATTGCATTGTTATTGTTTATAATAAATGGCATCTCTTTATGTAAAAAAGTAAAGGAAATGTTGATGTCCTTTCTCATTGTTTTAAGAAGTCAGTCTGAGTATACCACATGGATTAAAGAAATTTACAAATTAATTGATGGTCTTCATTTTCATTTAAAAAGAAGTGCTTGATTCGTGGTTTTTTAAATTTTAGCAGAACAAGACTTTGAAAGCTTATCTGGTATAAGTCACAACATGACTTTAAATTTAGGTAACTCACTATTAGTATAAGAGGTCCCAATATTTTATGTACTATTAGAAAGAAAATTTATGGCAGTTAAACTCTTGATACTTACTGCAGTAAGATCTCTGTTTCAGAGATGTAATATTGAAATAAAGCGCATCCTGTGTCAGTGAGAAATATGTCAGCTTTTTAAACAGGAGGTTCATTCACTGCTATGGCCCCAGCCCCTAGAAAATAATTTAGATGCCCAGAAACTAGTTGAATGATTGTAACATACTTAAAGCAAAATATCCTTAACTTATTAGCAAGATTGACACAGTTGTTTTTTGGTGTTGTGTACTTCATTTCCTTCACTGATGAGGAATTTTCTTTGAGTTTTCTTGTAGATTCTTTTCTTTGTATTGTTCCTTCTCTTCCTTCTCACCCCTTTTGGCTTATTCAGTACTTCATTGCTTTAACAAATGTTTACTTGGGATCTTTCATGTGTCATACACTGTACTAACTAGGTGCAAAGATTAAAAATGAACAACACTTCTGCCACTCAGGAATCTTAGAGTCTAATGAGGTGGACACAAATTAAATATTCACCCAAATTATTACCGTTGTTGAGGAAGAGTGTTGCATGAAAAATCTTAAACCATTTGGATTTGCTTTCTCTTATCTTGGGCATTCATACTTAACTCTTCTGGACACTGTAATGACAAGAGAAAAATTTGAAGCATTTAAATTCCTTCTGAGGGCTTACATGGAACAACTCAAATTATCACTAAGAACCTTATGGATCATTTTCTCCCTTTGTAATTGAATATTTTTAGAGCAGAAATATATCTTGTGGCAGAAAGCAGTAAAATTTAATAGTGGTGCTTTAACAGTAGAATTTGGTTGATTTGTAAGCTGAAATGTTTTTATGTTACCCCTCAGCTCACAGACTTAAGAATCTGATGAAAGCTAGAGATTCCACACATATTTACAACTTTGCATTCTGTTTTGTTCTGAGATTTATTCATCACATATGCCCTTCATGGTCTAAGATGGTGGTTTACAGACTGATCCAGAGAACACTGGTGATTGAAACCCTTTTGTGGGCATGTAAGGTCAGAACTGTCTTCATGATTATTCAAACATAATTGTACTCATGGTAAGGAAGTAATGGACAGTGAAACTGCTGTGCCTTGGCATAGTCACCGTAGTGGCAGAAAACCATACTAATAGTCATTATTGTGTTTTTCATTTCAGTACATCTGCAATTAAAACAAACAAACATTACATAAGAATGTTATTGTCCAAGCAGTAAAAATTTTAGTTTTAGTAAATCATGACATTTGAATTGTGAGAAGAAATGGGAAATACTCATACAGTTTTTCTTAACATTGAGGCAAAATGTCTTTCTCTGGGGAAAGCAGTGTGTGATTGAGTTGCTAGCTGAACGAGCCACTTTTCCCATGGAATATTTTTTTTCGAAAGAACAACTGACAAACTGTTATTTAGAAGTAGGTATATGGAAACATTTTCCTAAGAGTGAAAAATATGAACCTGTGTTTCCACTGTTAAAATTCAAACTTTCAGTTAAAATTAGGTTTTAGAAAACTTATCTGCCATCCTGGGCTTAACCCCTACTTAGTGGTCAGCAACTTTACTGATGAGAATTTTTATGGTGATATTAAGGATGTTTTAAAAAATATATTGTTTAATAAATCATATCAGTAATTGAAATATGTATATAACTTGGTAAATCAGTATCTTCTGAGTAATCATGTATTCATGGAATAAAAGGTCTATTCAAAGTACAAAATAGACTAATACATTTTAATATAATAAATTACAAAGAAGTTCATTGACATGACTTCAGATTCCATATTGTAACTAACCTTGAATTAGGAGTTTTGTCAAGTTTTATAAAAAAAGGAAAGTTTTTAAATTACTTCTCTCTTTCCCAACCACATATCTATAGGCCAGATTTTATTCATATAGTTTAACCAAAACAACAAAAAAAATTTTTGCAACATGAAGCAGACATGAAAATCCAGTTCTCTTTTTTATTAGATTAGGCATCTAAAAAATTAGCAAGAATGTAAAATTTGCTTCTATTTTAAAATGAATAAAACTTGAGAACTTCTTGGTTTTGATTTCTAATATATGAAATATTAGTAAATATAACCTACATAACTGAAAATCTTTTGGGTCCAAGTATAAAAAGATCCTGAGACCCAGAAAGTTTGAGAACCACCATTCTGGATGGTTAAATATGTAAGTTCTGCTTCCCTCTGGGAAACAGTGGAATCAGAGCATTACCATTTATCCACGTTCTGAGAGTTAAAATGGGTTGTGGAAGAACTCAAGTTCTGGAGCACACATTTAATCAGTTTGTATTGAGCAAGCACCAATGTAAGAGTATCACTGAGGCAATGAACTTAAAGGTCACCCACCACCTAGACGTCTTCTATTATTATAATAATTATTTTTCCAAACATTGAATTCCTACCAAGTGCCAGCTGTTATTCTAAAGGCTTTACCCATTTAACCAACACACAGCCCTATGAGCTGATGTTACTGTGTGTTGTTCCCATTAAAGAGCAAGAAACAGGCACACGTGAATCAAGCAACTTGCTGGACATGGTACTTTCCTATCTTCAGTTATGTCTGGGGAATAAATCATACCACTTAGTAATATTGTTATTCACATAAACTCCTATCCACTAACCTGGGAATGTAGGTATTATAACACAGGATTGTAACCCAAAAGGACTTTTTAATGACCAACTTTTCAGTTAGGGGCTACCTACACTGCCTCTATTTCAGACAGATAATCAGCTCCGTAGTGACCTATTTTCATTTTTAGCTGTGTCTCATGCTAGAAAGCTGGAAACTGGAAAATAATAATAAGGACTAAGTAAGCACAGTTGTTTTTCTTTGTAATTTTTCGATAAACAGGAAAATGCCATCTAAGGTGGCCAGACAGTCCACTCTTGAGCTTCTTTGATCTATTTAAATGAACAAGCTTTATTTCTAAAACTGGTTCTTTTCACATATCAGTTTCATAAAAAGATTGCAAGGTTATATGAGTGAAATTTTGTGTGTATATTTCTATTAATGTATACATAAACATGAAATTTGCTTATCTAAAGTAATTCAGTGCCTTATAAATGTTATGGCATGGAACAACTTTATCACATTACTGAGTTATTTCAAGATCCATTTATGTAACAAGTAGATTAAAAGGACAGATTATCATTCATCTTTCTCATAGCTGTAACTTCTGAAAAATTATAAAAAATACCTTTTAAAAGTATTTTGCATACATTATTAAGTTATTCTGTGACGTAAACAAAAATTTGATATTAGATAAGATTGCTTTATAGGGGAAATTAAACTAGATTGAACATTCTTTTAAAAAATCTATTTGATTTATGTAAAATCCCAGAATTATATTGAAAAAAAGCTAAAACGTAGACTTATTCATTAGTATGCAGTTAGCATTCTGACAATTTGCTCTTGGTAGTTCCTACGTGTATGAATAATAGATTATTAATTCTCAGAGGCTACTAGGTAAATGTTAGAAGATAAGGAATATACATATGTTCAAGCATAGAAGTATTATAAATACTGAGTTTTCACTTAGAAAATCATTTTTGTTTTATCTTGGGAATACTCCTTAGTGTTTTACTGTAACTGCAGTATGATTTGTTAAATTCAACTTTCAAATACAAAAGCCTTAGTTTTAACTTAAAAAAAAAAAAAATGAAGCCAGGTGCAGTGGCATATGCCTGTAATCCCAAGACTTGGAGGCTGAGGTAGGAGGATCTCAAGTTCAAGGTCATCCTTAGCAACCTAGTGAGGCCCCAAGCAACTTAGTAAGACCCTGTATTTAAAAAAAAAAAAAAATGGCAGTGAGAGAAAATGCTTTCAAAGCAATGTTACTTTTTGGCAAATTAATCTTTTCCTGAAGCAAGTCAGTCAATATTCATTTTGAAAAATTTGAACGGAGTGCGTGAATGTCATTTGGCATTTTCCCCTAGAGGAAAAAGCTTGGGTCTACACTTTTAAAACTCAAAGATTAATTTTTAACATCAAGTTGCCACAAAAATTCATTTTCAGAAGTATAATTTATGTAGTATGACTAATAATAACTAATTTTATTTTATAACTTATGAGACTGATATTACACAAATATGACCTGCTTTCTAAAAAGTCTAAGGCAAAATTAAGATTTTTATGTGAATATTGCTGTATCATTAAGAGTTATTTTCATGCAGTTTCTTTTTTACTTGATTTAGTAAAACAAATGTGGGTGTATGTAGACTTTAAAATATATATATGCATAGGCCAATTTCTGTCCTTCCCAGGGGAATGATGGTTTTTTAATCTTTGTTTCTAAAATAATATTTAGGCCAAAGCACTTAAACTGACCCTGGTAAAATAACATTTGGTTAATTCTGGGCAAAAATCAGGCCAATTAAAAGCCAGGGAGTGCATCTATGTGAGATCTGTGGTGTCTAGGGAACCACACTGAAACTGTAGCAATATGGACAAGGAATGAGATGGAGAGAATATTGTTTGTATTGTGGAAAATGGTTAAAGAAGGACGTGTTGGTGACCTGGTTAGGTCTAAGGAATATCTAAAAAAAGTGCCAGTCAATAAGCACTGCGTACCTACTAGATGTAGTCATGATGCTATGTACAGGGATGCAGATCAACAAAGAGTAGGCTTTCTGTGTGCTGGAGCAGTGTTAGCAATCTCTAGCCAAGCATGCGTAAGAAAAAGCGGCACTAAGAAATAGGTTGAGCAATATAAAGAAAATTCTTCTGAAAAAGAAGCAGACACAAATAAATAGAAATTTCTTTCCAGATGAAAGGGTGTTATAATCTGCTGTTATCAGATTAGGTAATTATTTTAATGTTATTCTAATAAAAATGCCAATGAATGGGGAATAGAGAATGTTTTTTTCTGGAAGAATTAACAGGCACAGTGTCTTGTATGCTGAAATGTCTGTCAATCAGAGATATTGACTTACTAAGTAGTGAAGTTGCTATTTGACCATGGTTAGGCCAGGCCTCCTAGCATCATGATGCTTACATAGAGTACTAAAATTCATTTCAAACACTCCCAGCTTACTTATCCTTTCTGAATTGATCATTTTACCCAATCCTTTCTGTCTTCATTTCAGGGAAGCATGGCTACAGCTGCCTTACCAGAGAGCGGGTCTTCCCTTGCCTTGAGAGCTCTTGGCTGGGGCTCACTTTATGCCTGGTGTGGGGTTGGTGTGATCAGCTTCGCAGTCTGGAAAGCTTTAGGAGTTCACAGTGTAAGTAACTACTTATGATTGGCATCTGGCTGTTTTTTCTACTTTCTGCTATCTAAATTTTCCTGGTGTTCGAATTTCCATGTAGTGTGGTCCTATCTTGGGAAGTAATGGCAAAGAATGTAATGAAATTCTTGCCAATTTCTAGGCAACTTCTCATTACTAGTAACTAATTTAAGTTTTTCAACTATAATTATGTAATGACTAATTCATAGCTAATGTTCATTCTATGTAAATTGATGTTAGCTACTTCTTTAATGAATTGTTAATTGGAACAACTTTCTATACTATTTAACATCCATCCATATGTATAAACATTCTTGTAAAATAATTAAAGCATTTTTAAAATGGGTTATTTAAATGATTAATTGTGTTGCTTACACATTATTGGAAAAAATCCTAAGAGCCTAAATATGTGTGTGTTTATGTCTGGGTGTATATGTATGTGTTTATAAAATTTATACCCTAAGCTAAAAAGCTATCCATTAAAAAAGATTGGTTTCTTTCTTTTCTGTTGTTAAGAGGGTCCACAGAATTTCCAAACAACTACTAGGAAGTTCTGTGTATCAGGCTCTTAATGACAGATGAGCATTGATGGGAGTTTAGTAGAATAGGTGGCAGTAATGGAGTTGATGAAAAGAAGTTCTGGATTTATTTCAAAGCTGGAGTTAGCAAGGTCTTGTTGTAGATTGGATGTGGGATATGAGAAAAAAAGTGAAATCAGGGAATGTCTCCAAGATTTTGGCATGGGCAACTGCAAAATGGATAGAGACCAATGTTAGGGGATAGCATAAGGGGCTCAGTCTGGGACTTGTGGGTTTGAGATATGTTAGAAAGCCACATGAAGAATCAAGTAATCAGTTAGATATAGAAGTTGGAATTCAGGGGGAGGTTCAAAGTAGAGATATAAATTTGAGACTCACCAGTAGATGGATAATGTTTAAAGTCTTTATACCAGATGAGCTCATGAAGGCAGGCAGCTGGGTGGCAAGAAAGCAAAGAGGTCTAAGGAGGGAGCTCTTGTGGATTCCTAAGGTGGAGAGATTGGAGAGAGGAGAAAGTAGCAAAAGGGATTTTCTGACCAAAGAGGCCAGGAGAGCCAGAGTAGTAGCTGGGATGCCAGGAGAAGAAAACATTTTAAGAAGAGGCTGTGTTGCATGCTAGTGAGAAGTTGCATAAGAACACTGACCACCGGCTTGAGCGTAGCAATATAGTGGTCACTGTTGAAATGGTGGCGGAAAGCCTGAGTAGAGTAGATTCAAAAGAGAATAGAGGAGAGAAATTGGAGGCAGTAGGTACAGATAAGTATTGAGTTTTGCTGTAAAGTGAAAGAAAGAAATGGAGTCATAACCAGAAGGATTGGGAGGAGGGAGTTAAGAAGGTTTTGGTTTTAAGTTGGAGAATTATGTGGAGATGGATTAATTCAGTAGAGAAGGAGACACTGAGTTGTGGGGGGGGTGCAACAGGGAGTGGTTTGCTAAAGCAACCTTATAAACATAATTGAGCTTTTCACATTCAGTTTAATCATAACTAAACATGGGGATTATTGTACTTTTCAGTCAAAACACACTGATGGACAAATGATAGTTTCCCTGGTCTGAACAACCGTTATTTTTAAAGTGATTTTGCTTTCTAATCATCCTTTGTAACAATAAATTAGGGACAACTTGGAAAATTCTGAAAACCACTGACTGAAGATTTTTGATGATTGTTATTATTTCAATTTTTTTCATTTCATCCATTGTACCAACATTTTAGACATAGCAGACTATTTATTCTGCCTAATAATAATATAGCATTACTATCCCCCATTTTATAAGTGAGGAATAAGGGCTCAAGACCCTAACTCACTTGCCCAGGATCACACAACTTATAACTGACAGAGTCAAGTTTTGAACTGAATTCTAAATCTTCAATATCTGCATGTTTTCTAGCTTTACCTCCATTAGCTAAGATGGGAAATAAAGGAATAAGTGAAAGGAGCCAGGGGAGGGAGACAGGTAGTGAATTTGATTTTGATTGTGACCTGACCATGTTGTTCTTGATAATTCACCAAGTTTTTCTGGGTAAGTGAGAGCCTCATCTCTCCACATGATAATTGATGTCAAGTCTGGTCTAGGACTGGCCATTCTTTACTCAAAGAAGAGAAAATCTTCTTTTAAGCTATCATCTGCAATTAAAAAATGCCTACAATATTACAGTAAATGGAAAACAGGACTCATAGCTATGTATGATAGGAGAGCGGGTACCTGAAACAAGGTACCCGGGAGGAAAAATGTCAGATAGAAATATGTGAGTGAATTATGGGCATATGAGTGGATTTTTTATTTTGCCTTTACATATTTTCCTTTAAAATATTACTTTACTAGTAATACCTTTTAAAAAATTGTGCAAGATTTTATTTCTATTAGTTTTTTACTGCAGAGGAGTTCATAAAACTCCTCTGGCTACCTATGAAATGTACCCGGGGCTTGCACCTAGAAATAAAGTTAAGTGGCTGACAGCCTGTTAGCACTTTCCATTGACAGTGGAATTGATGGGTGATGTTTCCAGTGTTTGGTACTCTGGTTATAAACTCAATAAAAAATTTTAAGGTATGAAAATATGAATAATCTTTGATTTAAGAGTCATGGAATGATTCAATTTAAATTTTCAAAGACCAACAAAATTAGGTTATTATACACTGGAGAATTTGGCTTTATGGGCTAGATTGTGCTATTTTAGTTTCCAGAATGTGAACTTTGTTTTATGGTACTAATAAGAGGATTATTGCCTAAATTAAATATTTTGGGGAGAAAAAATATTTTCTGACTGGCACCACTGAATACAAGAATACACAGATTCCTTTTCTGTTGCATCTTTGCCTAACTAAATAGAGGGAATGCAGATACCCTCTCCCCACATACAGGTCACTAGGCACATCAGTTTGATCTACTTATTTAAGAAATGTCACAGAAAAATGAATCCACTAATATTTTCCAAGAGGCCCATGTTTTAAAGGCAGCAGTGTTTATTAATTTGTTGGTGTGTTCATTTGGAAGTCATTAATGGGTCTTTCGAGAGTCTCACACTGTGCTAAGAACATCTCCTCAATAAGCTGTTGTCTAAGCCTTACCATTCCCTTCCCTGGAAGATTCTTACTATCCTGTTCTGAGGCTCACAGACAGCATATAGGATATTTCATCTCTACATTTAGAGAGTTCCTGCATTTAGAGTTTTGATGATGAGATTGACCTGAGTCCAGTAATGAACTTGTGTCACTATCACTGCCTCTTTGGGAAATGGCATTTTTCTCTACCTAAGGATAACAGTATTGGTTAGAAAACGATGAGCAGAAATGGTCCATGCGCACAATAAATCGTTAAGAGGGGACTTTCTAGATAAATGTAGGTAAGTAAAAACCAACTCCAGCATCAAATAATTGTTGTATAGCTTCCCTGAAATGCATTAAATCTGCAATAAACTCAGCCCCCACCATCACAAAAAAAAAAAAAAAAAAGGTGCCATCTAATGGCTGACTTTGAGCAGCCTGATAAAAGTACTTGTATTTCCTAATTTAGTTCACAGCTACATCTACTGGCCTAAAAGGGAATGTGTTAAAAATGCTTAAATCAAAATACTGTTCAGATTCTTAAAAATATTTTTGTTTTACTCTATTTATAATTATCATGAAATTTCATATTTCATGGAGCACATGTAATACATCAAATATATTTGTATTTTATATAATAGCACATCATTTAATCAGGGTTCAAAAAAAGGAGAGCTAGTGGGAGTTCAGTAACATGCCCAATTAGGGAGTTTGCCCAGGACTAGGTGGGGACCTCCCTGCCTGTGTAGAAATCAGCATAGACTCACATCTACCCTGCCACCTAGCCAGCTTTGGGCCAACAAGCACAGCCTGATTGTTCAGTCCAGGTTCATTGGTTACTCTTAATTATTGTACCATTTGAGTAGGACTGAGGATTAAATTCAACACAGTAACTTAATTGTGGAGGGGGGAGATGAGTTGACCTATGGGTTCATTGTTCCTAAACAAGCTATGCACCTGATCCCAAGAGACTGATCATTCAGCAGGGGCAGTGTGATTAGCTTGTTTTATCAGGGCAGGTACTTCAAGCTCAGAAAATAATTGAGGTAAATGATCTGAGTTCCTGTAGTGGACTAACTGGCAATTCCCTAATTATGGAAGAAAAAGTAGAAACCATGTCATATACAGTTATTCGTATGTTACTCAATGCATAACTTTGACTTTATTATCTATAATGGGTATTGATATTTGAAGGATTTCTGAAGAGGTTTAGCTAGTTTTCAATTAGACTACCTTGGATATTGTTTTCTTCTCTTCAGAGGGGAAACACAGGTATCTCAGTATTTCCTGGTTGATTTAATTGGAACTTTACAGAAGGGAGAATACACTGCTGAGGCCCTGTGCTCCACATTTGTGAGGGGGTTGCCATACCAAAGGACTGGCAGAGTCACCTCTGCTTCCCTTTCCTGTGTCTTGTGTAGATGTATTCATGATGCCTGGTATAGTAAGAATTTATAGATAATTTATAGCAGTTGCCTTCCTAGAAACTAAAACCCAAATAAAAACAATGAATGAAAATGTTCTTAGTTATTTTGAATTACTTTAAATTATTTAGAGATATAAATTATAAATGTTTTTAACTTTTTTATTGTGGGATAAGAGGTATTTGTCTTTATTTCTATTTTATATTAGTCAGCTTCATGTCACTATAACAAAATATCTGAGAAAATTAATGTCTAAATGAAAAGATTTAGTTCACAGTTTTGGAGGTCCCAGGCATATTGAGTGACCCCATTGCTCTAGGCTCCTGGTGGAGGTGCTGGACAACAGTGGCAGGGGTGTGTAGTGGAGCACAGCTGCTTGCTCATGTCATGGGCCAGGGAGCAAAGAAAAAACTGCACAGTCCCTCAGGGTCACATACCCATGACCTCAGGAACTCCCACAAGATTCCACCACCTTCTATAATGTCCTT